GTATATGTATGTATATGTGTGTATATATATGTATATATGTGTGTGTGTGTGTGTGTGTGTGTATATATGTATATATGTGTGTGTGTGTATAGAAAGGCCTCTGACTTCAGGTCCATAGGGGCTAACTTGCTGTTACGATGCTGTTGCATTTCATAAGCTGAAAGGGGGGCAGCAGCCTAGTTTAATAGGGCATACATTTAAGAAAACCCCAGGTGTTAAATTAAATGGTATTCTCCCACAGTCCCTTTTCATAGGTGGCATTTGTTCCTCTGAACCAAGTCCTTAACCACTATCCCAGCAGTACATTAGTGGACATTGGGCTACTTGTGGTGCTGGCTTTGAACTGATACCTGAATACAAGATGTTTACCATAATCAATGATCCTATGCCACTTTTCATTTGAGTGAGGGATGTTAATGACAATGTCTTGTTCAAAATTCAGTTCAGGTCATTACATTCTTCCTACTTGCAGGTTTAATTGGCTAGAGTATTCTCTAGTGTTCAAAAGACTGCACACAGTAACACCAAGGCAATTATTGCTATATCTCTATATTAATAGTTGATAGCTCAAGGGTTATTGCTATTTGTGAAATGCTTTGAGATTTTTTCATGACTATTATATTAGGTAGGGTGCTCACTTGCTTTATGGATTGCAATAAAGTATTGTACTTGGCAATCCTAGTGAGATGTCCAACATTTCTCCAACTACTTACCTCAGTTTTTTCATCCTCCACTGAAAGCATGCACTTATAAATCTGCCATAAAACCCTGTTCATTGGAACCTTCAGCAATTGTATTTCTTCTTGTAAATGAACTGTGGATGGAGGAAGTCATTTCTTGGGCTTAAGCTGAGGAGCACTGCAATGAAGCATGTCATGCCCATGCTGCATGCTTTTTTGCCCCCTAAATGGATGTAATGTGGCTGCTTTAATTAATGCTGTGCTTGGGTTCTGTCCCAAAAGAGCAAGCCTATTGATGCATACCTAGTTCTTCGCTATGTCAGCTACTTTTTACAGGAGAATAGTGCATGGAGATTGGGCATAGTGTGCTTTACTGTAACTCTCGCTAATGTGTTCTGAGGTGCCATAGACATGCCCCAATAATGGCAAAATCTTCCTGCATCCTGAAGAAAGTTCTGATGAAACTTGTTTTTTTTTTCATATACCTAGGATTTTCTGCACTGCAAGAAGAGCTGTACTGCTCCAGGCACAAGGAGGACAAAGAGCACTCCCTTTCTAAAGACAGTGAGCCATCTGATCACCCTCCCATTGTCTCTGAGGAAGACGTTTCTGTCAGTTACTCTTCCTTTCACGAGGGCACCCCCAAGACTGAGGCAGACATATCCATTTCAGAGCTCTTGAGACAAGCACAAAAGGAGCATGTGCAAACTGAGTTCTCAGGGAAGCCTCAGGACTTGCCAGAAGAAACATCTGCAACACAACAGGAGTATTTGTAAGCATCAAAAGTTGCCTGGCCAAACCCTGTAAACTTCATTGTGGAATACAGATATGCTTTTATTCATGTTGTGCATTTTCAGTTTATCTAACCTCATGCTTCAGGGCGTGAGTCAATCTCTGGGTGTTAGAGATCAGGATGAAACCTGTGTGTGGAGCAGATTGCTTAATACGAATCTTACACATTTCTCTGAAGCACTGGGTACCGAAATAGAGGGATTTGATGCCTGATCCTAGACAGCAATTCTGGTGTCCCAACTTGTATGTTTACTTCTCCCTCCTGTGCTTTCCCCTGAAAAAGATTTGAGGAGAAGAAGAAACTTGTTGAAGAATTGGGTCATCATTAAGGAATAATTGTCTCAGTTGTTACAAAAGAAAAAGTGTAAGAGTGGATGGATGGAATAATTTTGGTGGATCAGTTTATCAGTTGGGGTGCTGGCAAATTTTTAAGAAAAACTTTACAAAACTTATACATTTTTAGCAATATTTTGAATGATGCACACACTACTAGAGGGAAAAAACAATGCCAGATGATGATGTCCTGTTTTGCTGTTTGAAAAAACAACCTTTATCTTTATTTCCTAAACTCAGAAATGCAGTACAGAAACTGGCACATGACCCGTATGTTTGTTTTTCAGAATTATTTTGCTCAAGACGCATCCCTTCCTAAGAGAAAAGAAGTGCTTTAAGGCAGAAGTACCTTTGTAGTAGCAGTTTACAAAGTAGCAAACCTTTGTTGATAATCTGAACAAGGAAGTTAATGTATGTTGGAGTAGCAGAGAAAATAAATGAATGATGTGGGACTTAAGTAATCTGTGAATTAGTATCGTTTTTTGCAGAAAGGTCTAAAGAAAACTAGAACCCAAGAGAAGCCCAAATTAACTTGGGTTTTCATTAGAGAAAGAAGACCTTTGCTGGAGACAAAATACTCAAAAGCAAGTGTACTCAAACAGACAAAATGCCAAGAAGGTCTAGCACATGCTCCACAAAGAAGTGTAAAGTGTAAATGCTAAGATGATAAAATCTTTGGAATATTGTGTTCAGTTTTGGTCACATTTGTGGAAGTTGTTGCTGAGACTGAATCAGCAAGCAATGGTTAGGAAAAAAAAATAACTTCAAATTCTGAGGTATAGTTGAAAAAAGTTTGAAGGGAGGCAGCTTTCTAATAAACTACAATAAAGCTGTAATTAGTGAGGGGTAACACTGAACAGAAAGGTGATTAAGAAGGCCTGTTTCCTGTATAGCGTATGCTATAGTTTACTCTCAGACATGGTGAGTTCTGTGCAGATGCCATTACTATTTAATCAGGATGCAAATATTATCAAAATCAAATCCACTGTAGTTAGTTTCCCTGAATCTGTAATCCACAGTGTCACAACACCAGGAACAGAACAATCAATACCAACAAAGGCTGGAAAAGAAGAAGTCATTGAAAAATCTAAAGGCTCCACTGCACCAACTGAAGAACACAAGACTCCATATTTTCACACCCCATCATCTAGTGAGCGAGGTGACTCTCCCATTGTACAAGAACCTGAGGACCTCCAGCTCCACCAAGAACAGTCTCCAAGGAGAACAAGTCTGGTTATTGTCGAGTCAAGTGATGAACAACCAGAAAAGTTTGAAAGATACTATGAAGATGAATCCTTAGAAAAGGTAAATACCAGTCCTGTCCCCGCCATAAACCAGTTGTCATAGAAGAACAAATTTCCTTTATCTAGTCTTTATTTTATCTCTTCTTAATCAA